AGTTTCTGTGAAAGTCGACTCCAGCAGTTTAAGTGGGGGTGATAATCCCGCTACTAAAGCGGCGCTCCGACGCCCCGACGTCAGGTCCTTAGAGAGCGACCCGGCCATCCAGGACTCCAGGACCTCTTTGCAGTGAATTTTAAAAAGTTAGGGGACGGGGAGTGGGGGTGCCGTGTGGATGGAAAAAAGGAGTAGAGGGTAGAGAATTGAAACGGAATTCGGCGCGCGAACGGCGCGACAGGCGTTGCCTTGCGTTGCGCCCTGGTGGCCCCGCCACGCCCCGCCACGCCCCGCCACGCCCCGCCACGCCCGCCACGCCCGCCACGCCCCGCCACGCCCCGCCACGCCCCGCCACGCCCGCCACGCCCCGCCACGCCCCGCCACGCCCGCTACGGCTCCGCACGTGCATGCGCCACCCTCCGCCCCTCCCCCTCCCCCTCCTGCATCCCAACTTCCACGACTGAAGGCGCGGCGCGAGTTCAAGGTTTCTGATTGCCAATAAAACGCCTTTCCTCTCGAGAGGCCCCTCCTGCCCCTCCCCTTCCCCCTCTCACCCTCCTCCTCTCGGCGCGGCCTGCACGGCGGCGAGACTTTGAACCGCAGACGGGCGGCGTCCTCGTCCGTCCTCGTCCGTCCTCGTCGCACGGCCTAACGAGGGGGAGGAGAAGGAGCAGGAGAGTCCCGGAGCTTGACATCAGCCTGGAGGCGGCCCGCCCTCCGGACGCGCGTGCGCTGCGGGACAGCCTATGCCGCCGTCCGCAGGCGGCCTAGGCCTAGGCCCGCCTCGGCACGCCGCCGATGTCGACGCCACTGGTCGTTTAGCGCGACGCCGAGCTGCTCGTCACCCCCGCGTCGGCGACACGTTACCCTTGCGGCGTCGCGGCGTCGCCGACCCCACCAGTGCCCTCGGCGGGGCTGCAGGGCGGGCATCTCCGAGGGACACTTGTTGAGCGGGTTCAGTGGGCCACGGCCACGGCCACGCCGGGGCGGCCAGGGCGGCCAGGGCGTGCGCACGCATTCATTGGCCACCGCTTCCTGTTCATTGAGAATCACTGTCACCGTGTCCGGGAATCCGGGTCGGGCGCGCCGGGCTGGGCCCGGAGTCCGGGCATTGCTCGTGCCGCCCCCGTTGTAGTGTGGCAATGCGAGGGTTCCTCCGGGCCTCCGGGGAACGGGGGATCTCCGGCCAGCGCTGTCAGCGTGGACACTCCGCTTGCCGGCTTTTGCTGTAATGAAAGCGAGCAAATTGAACTGTTTGTCTGCCGCTAATCGCGGCCCGTGATTGGTCGGGCTGAGTGCTGGTGGGAGGGGGGGGGGGGGGGGGCGAAGCCCAGAGAGTGCCCCACTTCACAGAGCACTAAATTTAGCCGCCGGGACGATGCTCACTTAACGCGCTGCTGAGCCGGCCGTCCGAACGGACAGCCAACACACAGAGAGGGTCCAAAAGGGAGGGAGGACACCTACCCTGTAGGGCTAGGGCACTGTAGGGCCCGGCCGGCATCATCGCCCGCGCGGAACGTGGAAAGTGCGGAGTATTTTAGTATTTCAGTATTTCGGGGACGGGGAAAGGAATAAACTGCCCGCGCCGTGCACCAATATCGATATCCCCCCTCTATTCCCCTCCCCTTGTCCTCACCTGGTGGACCTCCAGCCCCTGCTTCATACTGCGTGGATTCCAATTTCCCAGCTTTTAGTTGTTTTTCGATAAGTTTGCTGTTGTTGTTTGCCTGTTTGTTTCACCGTGGGCTGTCGGCCGTTCCCATATGCTGCGGGGGAAAAGGAATGAATAAACCGTTCCGGAATTGTGTTCCGACACAACAGGATTTGGCCACGAGCAAAAAGCGCGGCAAAAAGCAAAGCGAAAAGCAAAGCGAAAAGCAAAGCGTCGCCGTGCGCGTTTGCTTACCGGATTTATACAGCAAGCCGCTCCACTGCGTGTACACACTGGGAAAGGGGGGAGGGGGTGGTAAAGACCGGTAGCACCCTGGGGGACCTGGGGGCCCTGAGGGACGGCGGGGCGACGCGAGAGGAAATTAAAAGGACCAAGAAAGGCACGCGGAAAGATCGAGCGGACTTCCGCCATCGACCGGACCTCCCCCCCCCCTGTCCCTCCCTTCTCCCTCCCCCTCCCGGCCGCTTTCCGTTCGGCTTTCCCTTTTAACGGCGAGCCCCCCGGACCGACGCATGGCCTGTCGACAGATCTTTCGCCGCTCTGTCTCTCTCTCGCACATGGGGCGGTCCGCGGCGGCGGTGCGAGAGAGACAGGGCGACGCCGTTCGGAAAAAGCGTGCACCACTGCAAAACTCCGTATTTAGACGGAAATTCCCAGAATAATTCCTTTGCAGGTAAAAACCGTCGGGAAGTTCCCGCCCCTAGACCCCTAGAAAACGGGTACGGGAACGTCGGCAACGCCTAGAAAGCAACGGTCCGGGGAAATTGTGGCGGGAAGATTTGTTGTGTTTCTAGTGAAAGCCGCGCGGGCCCGGTGGGTCCCCCCGTTAAACTTTCAGAATATTGGCAGGTCCCGCTCGACCCGCCCCTCCCCCTAGACCTTTCCTGCCTCTCGGGGGGACCGCCAACTGTCGAGAATGTCCAAAATGCTTTTGCTGGGAAAGCCTGGCCTGGTTCAAAAAACCCCATTCCCTCCCCCCTTCCTCTCTCTCTCCTCCCCCTCTCTCCCCCCCCCTCTCTCTCCCCCCTTTCCCCCTCCCCTCTCTCTCTTCTCTCTCTTTCGCTCTCTCTCTCTTCGACTCCTGGCTTATGCTCGCCTCTACCCTCCCTCCCTCGCGCATGGGGTCGCTTGAGCCCCTTTTCCCGCCCTACCCTGGCCGGTGGGGGGAGGGCGTGGCAGGGCGTGGCAGGGCCTCACCGTCATCCCTACAGCCGTGCCCGGCCCGGTCCGCCTCCGCCCTTATCTCGACAACGGTGAAACGGGACGAGTCAGAGACTCCGAAACGCCCTGCAAAGAGGCATTATTACCCACCCAGGAACGCACGATGAACATCGAACGCTTCATTTGCCCGAAGCACGCCATTCGATTAAGGCCGTAGGAGCGCAAAATTTTTTTTTCGCCAATTGATAGTGATCGATGTGGTAAGGCACCATGTCAAACCGTTTTGCTCGGCGACGCATAGTTTCGGCGTCGCGACGCCCCAAAGTTCGAAATTTTGGCGGTTTTTGACATTTTCCAGACCACACGACGGGGAAATCAAGGGTCGCAGCGTCTTAAAACTTTGCACACTTGTTGGCAGGGACTGTATGTAGGGGATGGTCTACTCCAATTTGCGCTCTAACGTCTAGGAACGTATCTGGAACGCCTTGAAAATAAGTGATTTTCAGGAAGCTCCGGAGCGGAATCTAATGAAAGGGCGAAAATATGGACCATCACATCCCCTAGGCCATGCCTTTCTCTTCACGGGCAAGTTTTTTCCATTTCTCTAGGAGGTGTGGTACTCGCGTCGTGTGGTCTAGAAAATCACTCAGATTTGAAGGTCCTGCACCAGTAGAGAGAGACAGGCTGCTTCGGCCGATGTGTTGTTTCTGTCGCACAGCGGAGCTCGAGGCAGGTAGTCGGGGTCCGGGGTGACGCGCCGGGCGGACAATAGGGGAGCCGTCGAGGAGCCGTCTGCAAGGCAGGCGGCACCGGGTCCCGACCAGTTTTGGCAAATTTTCGTCGCGATTTTGGTAGAAATTATCGTAGAACAAAAATTCAAACATCATTAGACCCAGCTTTCAACGACGAATCCATTGCCGCATGTTCCAAAAACGCGAAAAGGCTCGTTTGAAAATTTGTATTTTGGGCCTGGGGGTAATAAATCAGCCTGTCATCATCGTCGCCTCGGCGCAGCCCATTGTGAAGCAGGCCTCTCCACACAAAAGGAAGGCGATCCTTTCGCTACCTGAAAGCTAAAATTTTTCTAACGCGTCGTTTGACACTCATGGGATGTTCACCATTGTACTCGGGATGAAATTTTGGTTCTACCCATCTAAAAATTAAGTTTCTGCGGCCACTTTTAACAGAGCAACGAAAACAACTTTTTTAGCTACATAGAAATAATCAGTACTTCGCAAAAAATATTTCGTCAAATTTGGTCAAAACTTTTAATTTTGACCTGAAACTTGGACTTGGAATTGAAGACCGGCCCCGAGCTCACGAAAAGCTGGCGATCTGCTCCGTGCGGCCCAGGCCGAGCCCCGTGCCGGGGTGTCATTCACCCGCACTCCGGCAGGCCGGCCATAAACAGCCGGCCGAGGGTGCATTGTCTGCGGACCAGGTCTACGGGGCATCGGGACCCCGGCCTCAGACGACTGCGGATGCACCCGAAAACGCTCTCGGATGCTACCATTCTCAGAGTAGCCACCCGCTCCTACGCCCTTAAGGCAAATAGTAAGTCGCGCCATAAAATATGTAAGGAAGTAAAGGAATGAAGTTTTGATTGAGGCTGCGCTTTGGTGTGTCGACAGCGTTTGATGATGACAGTGCTTCGCTGTGCGCAGTAAGAGGGTAGGGTGCCGTCCTCCGGGCGCAGTGTGCTCATGGCGTAAGTAGCGTACTGTACAAGCTGTGCAAGCGGCTCAGGGCTGACGCTGCTGACGGCCTGGCCCGGCCGGGCCCGGCTTCGGCTTGCCCGCATTGTCAATCTGCCGAGACGAGCGGTGAGGGAGGGAGGAAAAGGAAGCCACTCACGAACCGACACACAGTGGGCCAGAAGACCGGTGGAAGCGGCCAAAATTCTAGACGCGTTTTGAGCTCCAGAGTCGCTAAGTCAGATTCGAATCGAACGTTTGACCCCACCAATGGATTGCTCTCCGAACGAGGAATCCATTGGTGGGGTCACATCATACGTATCAGGCAGAAAAGTATGACTAGAAAACGAATCCCGGCTGCTGGCAGTGCTTTTGACGGTGTCGTGGTTTCCCTTCAGGATGGCGAGCCGGCGGTGGGCACACTGGTGCCGGGGCTGCCGCCCCCAGGGCTGCCGCCCCCAGGGCTGCCGCCCCCCACGGGGCCCACCCAGACCGGGCCCCCCGTGCCCGCTCTGGTACCGCCAGTGCAGGAACATCGGCGGCGGTCCAGCGGCGCGCTGGGGCTCTTGGGCGCCCTCAACGAGAACAACCTCCACGCCACGCCCAGGTGAGTCGACGCATTCATGGTTCGGCAGCGCCCCGTGATTTCTGCTGGGTATTACCGCCTTCGATTGCGCCGCTTCCATCTGGTTGAAAACCAAATTTATCTCGCTATCCGTCTTGATCCCACTCCCGCGACCTTGAGGGTCTCGACTATCAACAGCGCCAGATTTTGGCCCGCATTCGCAAAGATAACAGCTTTAATCCCGGCCATCAGGGGCTGCAGTATCAAGGTCCCCGGGCATCCCTCGGACGAGGAGCCCGTTTAGCCCTGAGGCTGGCGCGGGCTGGCGGGGCCTCGGCCGTGCTGCCGGGCCGTGCTGCCGGGCCGTGCTGCCGGGCGGGGATTCGGGCTTACTGCATGTCAACAGAGGAGCGGCCTCCGAGTGCGTCGCTCAACAGTTCATTCCGACGCCATTAGTCAGAGCAGGCGGAGCGGGCGAGCCGAGCGGGTACCGCCAGCGCGCTGGCAGGCGACTAGCGGGGGCGCCGAGTCAGGGATGAAGTCAGCGACGGACAGACACGATGACAGCAACGGACACAAAGGCTGACACGCAGAAAGCAACAGACACGGACAAGCAGTCAGTCCACAAACAGACACTCGCTGACAGCAGCAGACGCTCTGCAAACGCGCCGCGATGGATTCCGCCATGACGTCATCCGCGACGGAGCTCCTAATGAATCATATTATTTAATTGCAAAAGCGGCTCGGCGTGACATTAATGGCGCAAGGCCCCTTGTGCGAGATTACTGGCAACAGCTTCATAGTGGAACAGCTGAAGGGGGAAGGGTGCGGTGAAGCAGCTGGCGGGGCCGCCCTGCTGCCGCCCTGCTGCCGCCCTGGTCCTTGGACCGCTGGGACCACCACACCACGAGGCCTTGAATAAACAGCTAGGGTTGCCAACTCGGGCAAAGTTGACACTATTGGAACCCCCGCCACACCGCCGCTGCTTCATCACTAACCAGCTTACCCGGCCCGCTTAGCCGCCATACCCGGAGGAAGTTGAGCAGTATTTGAACCTCGGACCCCAGACTCCGAAACCCGCACCCCGGGGCCACGGGACGAGCGCCGACCGCGGTTGCCCGCCGAGCGGCTAGGGGATGCACCGCGAGGAATTTTGTGTACAAACATGAAGAATCTGCGGTCTGCGCCGCGGCGGCCTCGCCGACCCAGTGACTGCTACCCGTCAGCCCAGGGGGGGGGAGATCCGGACGCAGCCCGGTCGGCCGCCGCGAGCGGACGTGATCTAGTCTGATGAAAGCTCCCTGCTTCGGTTTTCGGTAACGTTGAACCTCTTCCAGACCAAACCGCGCGGCGAGCGTGGGGCTCCCCGACCAGAAGCAGACCGCGTTCATGGAGCTGCTCGCCAAGACCACCTCCCTGGCGCCGCCCGCCGCCTCGACGCTGCTGCAGCGGCGCCACTCGGCCCACTGCGCCTCCACCAGCAGCAACGCCGGTAAGGCCTCCCTCTCTCTCATTTTAATTTTGACGGACCCTCTGGACTGTGTTCCGCTGCTCCATGTTTCAGGTTCCACCCCCGGGCAAGGCCAGGGACAAGCTGCACAGACCGCGCCGGGCATCCAGGGCCAGGGCCAGGGCCCAGGGCTCAGCCTGAGCCCCGGCACGCCAGCGGGCCCCCCTCCGCCGGTCCCCGTGCGCACCAAGCCGGGCCCTCCGCCGCCCATCTGCCAGCTGCTGAACAACATACCGTCCCGGTCCATGTCGATGGGACCGCCCGCCCTGCCGCCGCCCCCGGGCCACGGCCACCGCCCCGCCCCCAACGCGCAGCGGCGGTCCTCGCACGGCGCTCCCGGCGCCGCCCCCCTCGCCGCGCCGCTGCCCCTGGTGTCTGCCTTCAGCGCTCTTACGGAGATCCGATGCCAGCCCGCCAGCAGCAACAGCATCGGCAACAACAACAACAACGGGGCTGCCGCGCAGGCCGCGCAAGCCTTGGCGGCCGCGGCGGCCCCGGACCCCGCCGCGCTGTGGGGGCAGCGCCGGGCCAACGAGGACGAGGTGTGTGGTGGCAGTGCCTTTGAAGGCCCGCCGGTACCTTTACCCTGGACCGAAATTCGCTCCAGCGTCGTGTCACGGTGCGTCACTTCGTGCCACTTGCCGTTTACAGGTGGACGAGGCCGGACAGAAGGTGCAGCTGCGCCAGGACTCGTCGGTGTCCTCCGACTCGTACAGCCAGACGTCGTCGCCGAGCTACACCAGCAAGACCATGGAGACGCCCCTGCTGCCACACCACAAGGCCAAGAAGAAGTCGTCCGTATCCGGGTACGAGAACCTAGGCACACCTCTAGAAGAAAACATGTTTCCTTTCCCCCAGGGTTTGACTGCACTGCTTCTTTACCTTAGGTACGGCGCGGGCCGGCCCCTCACCCGCAGCGCTGGCGTGGTGGGCTCGGAGGACTCGTGCACCGACTCGGCCATCGGCTCCGCGTCGACGGGCGACCGGTCCGGCTCCACCTCCGCCATCACCAAGAGCAACTCCACCCCCGCCTCGCTGCAGGCTGTGGTGCGGCTGAGCGCGTGCGGCTCCAACATGTCGCTGCACCACAAGGTACTGTCCTGGCGTCCTCGGTTCGCTGCCTGGTGGAGGTAGGCTAGCCCTTCATGTCCGCTGAAAACTGTTCCTGCAGATCATCCGAGACCACATTCGCCGGCCGTCGGTGCTGCGGCCCAGAAACATCAAGTTCAACAAGTTCCAGGCCATGCAGCTCGTGTTCAACGCCATCGCCCTGATCGCCATCGCGCTCGGACTCACGGCCTACTTCCGTGGTAAGCCCCGCCACCGCACTCTAAAATTCAAAGCAACTCCCTTTTCGAGCGCAAGTCGAGGCAATGTTTTTCTGTTGGACTTCAGCGAACCCCTCCGTCAAGTACATTAACACGGAGGTGGGCAACCCACTGCCCGGCGTGTGCATGCCCGTGATCGTCACCTTCTGCCTGAACCACCGCATCCCCTACAACTACACCATGGTGCCCAGCTACGTCGGCCACATGTCGCAGACGGACGCGCAACAGGTGAGTCATGTTCAAGGTCACTCGGCGAGGCGCTCGGCCAAAGGGCGCATTGCCAAGGCCTCTACAAGGCTGTTTCAAGGTCATGGCCAATTGCCAAGGCCGTTCAAGGTCACGGGCTTACCACTGCCCTCCCTGCTCCCCCAGGACATCCAGTTCTACGACGCGCTGGTGGACGTGCACTGCTACGAGCTGTCCGCGCTGTTCCTGTGCACCATCTTCGCGCCCAAGTGCGGCGCGGGCGGCAAGCAGGTCAAGCCGTGCCGCAGCCTGTGCAAGGAGATGATGCGCCGCTGCGAGTTCTTCCTGGAGGTGTTCGGCCTCCACTTCGAGCAGCTCGTCCGCTGCGAGAACTTCCCGGCGTACGGCGGCGAGGGCTACGGCTCCGAGGTGGAGGAGTGCGTCGGCCACCACGAGTACCTGGAGGCGGAGCAGCGCGCCGAGGCGCCAGGTCGGTGCGGCACAGCGCCAACACGCCCTCAGTGAACACCGTTTGTACTTTCCCCGAAATTAACCTCTGGCCTCTGGCAGCTTGCGTGGACGGCTTCCTCTGCGACCGGACGCGCTGCGTGCCCAAGGACTTCCGGTGCGACGGCCACCAGGACTGCGTGGACGAGTCCGACGAGCGGGGCTGCGACTGCCCAGCAGGTAAGCAGCGAGCAGGCTGGCCAGAGGCCGCCAGAGGCCGAGTGTGAGCCCAGCCCGGAGCGAGTTGGGTCGCCCGCCCACCGGGTGGATGGCGACGTGGTAGCGCGTTGTGCATGGACTCGCCTTGTCGTGCCCTGTTTGACCGACCTTTGTCGTTGCAGGCTGAGCAAGACCTGACCGTGGCGTGAGTAGCCCCTCTGACCTACGTAATACCATATTTTGTCTCTGCACTTTTATGGCCGATTTTCGCACTTGAAATTCATCCTCACCTTTTTTCGTGGCATGATAGCACAACCGCAGTTCGTTCGCCAACGCGCGTCTTACCAGTTTTTTATTTTTGCTGCACATGTATATTTATGTTGTTGGGGGTAATAAGCCGAAAAAAAAGTATTATTGGGACTACTGAGGTGGATTATTGTGCAGTGTCGACGCGACATTCTGCCCGCTGCGATGTCACTTTTCTCTCACTCTTTTTTGCTACACTATTTTTAAGGTGTCTGCTTTCGTTCTGATGGCCATCGAACAAAGACTGCCGAGGGTACCACACAGTGCACCGGTTGCGGAGCTTGAATGTCACACACGTCATAACACTTGTTGTTTGCAGTTGGTGATGGTCATGGAATTGAATGCATGTTTGGTTTGTGTAGTCGTGAGCCACCCTGGCATCATGCTGGCATGCGGCGCGGAGCCAGGCCCAGTACGCACCTTTCCGCATTACGCACTAATTACTCTTAATATTAATGCACTTTTGCACTTACACCATTGCACCTTGGATTTGGCCGTTCGCCCCACCAGAGCGCCACCGCCTAGTGAGGAGTGGGCACGCTGCGGACATGAACGAAAACACACCGTTACTAATTTTCACCATGCAATGATGCCAGTCCAGTCTTTGGCCTTGAGCCGTCTAGCAAGCAACGATTTACTCATCAAATCGTAAACCTCTCACCTGCTCAGGACGTTAAGTTTTCAAAACTAAAATACCATGGATATATTTTTAACGGTGTGCGACCAAGGCGTTTCCCCCGCAAACCTCTCCCTCACTTCTCGGAGCGCAGCACGTTTTGGCCCGCTGCCGTGCCGCATGTCCATAGAGTCCCCCCAAAAATGTAACGTCACGAGATATTTACAAAAAGAAACACACCTCTGAAGTTGTATTTTATTTCATTTTTTTCGAAAGTGGAACTCATCAGGCCAGCCTATCGCGCCGCGTTAGCTGACTCTGTCCCGCCTGCTTGTTCCAGGGATGGTTCACTGTGGAGACCAGAAGTGCATCACGCACGAGCACATCTGCAACGGGCTGGTAGAGTGTCCTTACGGCCAGGACGAGCGCAACTGCAGTAAGTACAGCCACGTCCGAAACCACCTGTCGGTTGGCGAGCACGCAGTCACGTGGTCGGTGCGTTGCAGTGCGGCTGTCCGACTCCATGGGGGACGTGGGCTCCGGCAACCTGGAGGTGTTCCACCCCGCGACCAAGGAGTGGAAGCCGGCCTGCGTGGAGGACAACTGGCAGGACGGCCCCTCCACGGAGCACATCTGCGACCTCATGGGCTACAAGTAAGGCTGGCGCACGGCTTTCGGTTGGTTCGCACAGTGAGTAGTATGGAGTGCCCTGCATGAGCGCACGTGGGGTACACCATACTACTCAGGGCACACCATACTACTCAGGGCACACCATACTACTCAAGGCACTGTTTGTTGACTGTTTTGTCCTGCCCACAGCAACGCCAACTCCAGCCAGCTGTCGCTGGGCATGGCCGGCGTGATGCCACCCGCCATGAACCGCGGCACCATCCCCGTGCACAAGACGTCGCGCTCCGAGCTGTACGCGCATCTCCGGAACTGCTCGGCGCACACGCCGTCCGTCAACCTGTCCTGCTACAACTACAGTGCGTAGACTGCGTGACCTTGACGACCTTGAGCCTCTGCTGACAGTGAGCTTGACCCACTTGTTGACCTTGCAGAGTGTGGGCGGCGCCGCCAGCAGCGCTCGGCACGCATCATCGGAGGGTCACCCTCGCGGGTCGGGGATTGGCCCTTCCTCGCAGCGCTGCTCGGCGGCCCAGAGAAGGTCTTCTACTGCGCCGGCGTGCTCATCAGCGACCAGTGGCTGCTCACCGCGTCCCACTGCGTCGGCAAGTACGTAAAGTCGAAGCGACTCCGAAAAGGTATTTTGAGGTTAAGGCGTCCGTCTAACCACATGGCGCCTTGCAGCCTCAGCACCAACAACTACAGTGGCTGGACCATTCAGCTGGGGATGACGCGCAGGAACTCGCACTCCTTCTTTGGGCAGACCATCAAGGTAAAGACGGTGCTGCAGCACCCCGACTACAACATGGCGCACGACAACGACGTCGCCCTGTTCCAGGTAAGTGGCCGACAGGTTGCCAACTTGAAAAATTTGTCGAAAGTGACTTTATGTACACACGGAAACTCGAATCGCAGCTGAAGGAGAAAGTCAAGTTCAACGAGCACCTGCTGCCCGTGTGCCTGCCCCCCGCGGACTACAACCTCAAGCCGGGCACCAACTGCACCGTCATTGGCTGGGGCAAGAAGGAGAACAATGGTGAGCCTCCGTCCCGTCCGTAGTTCCGGACTTCTTCCGCCAGCGCCACTGTGTCACTCCGACGCGCGTTCTGATCCATCCTGCCGTTTCAGTGTCGTCGTACGAGACCACGGTCAACGAGGCCATCGTGCCCATCCTGAACCGGTCGCTGTGCAACAGCTGGCTGTCCGAGCAGAGCCTCAAGGTGACGGAGGGCATGATCTGCGCCGGCTACGAGATCGGGGGCACCGACGCTTGCCAGGTACGGAAATGCCCCAGGGAGACCAGGTCGTCAGAAGAGCGTCAAAATGGACCGACGTCGAAACAGAGGTCGTTTTGACGTTGCATGGGGGACCTGTCCCCTCCTTGGGGCCCCTGTGGAGGCTGTCTCATTCAAAAACCTTGTCGCGATCTAACTGCTGTGGCTCGCTTTGCAGGGCGACTCTGGCGGCCCGCTGCTGTGCCCCGACGAGAAGGACCCCGGGCGCTGGATCGTGGTGGGCATCGTGAGCTGGGGCATCAAGTGTGCGCACCCCCGCCTGCCCGGCGTGTACGCCTACGTGCCCAAGTACGTCCAGTGGATCCAGCACAAGATGCGCGAAGACACCGACGCGACGCTGGACTGAAGACTTCCAGCCGACGCTCGCTCGCGCCAACTTCGCGGCGTTCACGCGTTCTTATTTCTCAAGGGGCGACGAATTCGTTTTGTAATTTTCATTTGAGATTGGGTGGAATTTACTGGCAGGCGGGCATCCGCTGGTGGTGCCTGTTGCTTCACTGTGAATCGTAGACGTTAGAGAGTCTTCAAATCAGGGATCGAAAAGAGACAATAACAAGTTTAGTTTTGGAACATTGTCGATAATAATTGTAGACGAAAGAAGTACTTTAAGTATCATTGACAAGTATTGTCTTGACAATCTCGGCTTTAGATCTCAATTGATGGGTACAATTTTTAAAGGAAACTACACCGTTGGGTGTCTCAGTGTTGTGGTTGTAGACCTTTAGGTCGATATGACGATTTTAAAAAACGACTTTAACGTAGTGGCGTCGCACTATGTCCGAGGAAGAGTTACCCTATTCGGGGCATGTCACGTGGTGACAGGTTGAAGCGCTCAGCAGGCCCCGTCGCGAAAAAGCCGCGGGGCGGTCTGTACCTGAGGTCGGTGGTTGCTAGTGATTACGTAATTTTAAAATGTAGATGTAGGTAAGCGGGGAGCGCGGGTGACACGCGAGAAATTTCTTGTCGGACAGCGCCTGCTTTTGAAGTACTTGCTAGCCCATGGCCAGTGGCCGTGGAGCTGATCAAAGTCTCCAACTACCTCGGCTTGACTATAGCGGACCGTAGTGCGACAATAAAGTAGAAGTACCAGAGTACAGAGTACCAGCGCTTAGATGCGAAACGTTTATTTGTCGGGGCAAGTCGAGGCGAAGGAACTCGATCCCAGGGGGACTCTTCTTTAGGTTTTCTTATTTTAGTGTTTGGCATGAAAATTGCTACAAGTGCCGTGACAATATTTTGTATAAAAATTTCCAATTTGTTAAACTCAGATTGACAATAAGTAGTGGTTGTTGCCCTGGCCGTGAAAAGAGTCTCAGCTAGAGAAGTAATGATTTACATGGATCTGTTGGTACACTATCTCGAACTGAGACATTTTGGGAACTTCCCGTGGTGAACTGATGGGACAATATCCGAATGATGTATTTTCTTATAAATTTACGTAACTCCAGAACCGTGAAAAACTTTATATTTTACTACTAATAATCTTTGAATTACGCCTTTGTAACAATTTTCCAGTTTGTAGGGGAAACTTTCCGTTCTTTGAAAATGAAGAGTTGCCTTCTGTCTGGTCCCTGCTGAGAAATATTGACAGACAGTTCTATTTTCAGTAAAAGGGAAGAGTAGATTTCGGTTTATTTTCTGTTTTCCCCTGGGACAATAATTCTTGGTGTGCTGATGGTGTTTGCATCGCTGCCTCACAGTGTCAGTTTCCCTTGGAAATGAGAGCAAGTTTCTTACTTGTACGAAGCAAGAAAAACTGCCTCTGGCGACAGCAGCCGCATGCAAAACCAGTAGCAATACAGATTCTGTATATACGTGTGTGATTGATGTCATTTTGGTACACCCTGCCTTAAGTACGACGTACTTTGTGTATCTTGAACGCTTACTAAATGATGCTCTAGTGCGTAAGCCAAAGTTCGCTGCTGATAAAGTACTTTAAAAACAACTGACAGCCGACGCTGTGCTCTTTTGCGGGATAGTAATCTTTAATGTTACCTTGATTCTTCCGTTTCAAGTCAAAATGTTTTGGCAAATATTGAATTTTATAAATTTTCTGCCAGTGACGCACGAAGCGTTTGCGTTTGTCAGTTGATGCTTATGCCCTAGATGTGAGTAGGTACAAGTTGTTCTCGTGTAACGTGTTCGCTTCCATCCTTGTCTCCTACCTACGTAGGACTCTATGCTCAAATATGCACCTTCGTGAGGAATGACTATTGTTTCGATTTATGGCTGTGTCTTACTATTTATCACTTTAAATTTAACTTCATATCAACTATTTTTCTTTGCCGTTTGTCACTGACAAAACCTATTTCAAGCCACTTTCGATCGCTTCCACGAAGACGCATATCAACGAAATAGGCGGAGCTACATAGTGTATCTTTATAGGCTGTCCTATTACAGCAAAATGTATCACTGTAGCTTGTGAATGACTGAACAAGAATCGAAAGAGGTTTCATCTCCCCTTGCCCTTCCCCACCGCGGTTTCTGGCTACAGCCACCAGAGCACCGGCCAGGCATGGCAACCCAACGCGCCCCCATGCTCTGTGCTGGGTTCGAATACTCGATGGTGGCGGTTTTCCTCCCCGGATTCTCCCTCTCTCTCCATATCTCTCTCATTTTCCCCACCCTTCCCACCCTGAAACTCTCTAGCCACAGAGTCCTGTCTAGGTGTTGTTGTTGTTATTGTTGTTATTATTGATGATGGGTTTATTCTTTACAAAATGAATAGTTGAGTAGGATTGATTGGCAGTTCTGTGTGGTGCCGTGGATCTTTGCTCATATCTCTATACTATGTCAAATGGTGACCACTTCTTTTTTCTAAACACACTGTTAGCCGCTTGCAACTGTGTGCGCGTGTGAGTGTGTTGCAAAGCGTAGTAAGTGTGTAAGTGTCGGTTGCTTCTAGCGGGGAGCGGAGGGCAGCTGCGGGCAGCTGTACCCTGGCGTGTCCTTCAGAGTGATCCTGCTTGCGTCTAGTCAGCCAGTCAATTATATTCTTGATATAAGGATGGGTACGCCTTTTTAGAATAGTGTTTCCACTTTTGATACATGTATATAAAATCTTTTAAACTCGCGCCCTTTCTCTAGGGGTGGGACGCGCGCTTCAGCTGGGCTGCCCGAAGAACACAAAACAGTGTGAAAGTGATGGCATTTCGGTGTCAGTAAGACCAAAATCGTGGATTTTGACGTGACTTGTTTACTGTTTTGTGTTCTTGGGAGTGGTGGCGCGAACGTGGCAGTCCCACTCCGACGAGTACGACCTACGCTTTTCCTGTCCACACCGCTTCAGCGTGTTCCAGGCTGGTAAGACAATAATTCCGTTTCCCAAAGATCAAACAAGCACAGGGGAGTAAAGTAAATCGTTCTGTTTCAAGTGACATTAGTTGGTAGCTGTGCGAGTTTAAAATTGCGTAAGCACATGACAATGTCGTAAGACAGAAATGTTAATGGAATACATAGGAGTTCTAACACGCACAAATATGGGGGAAAATAGATGACATTCTAAATGCTCAAACTTAGGGTTCTAGAAATCGAATGAAAGTTTCTTGCTTCGTGTTCTAAAATACATCTCTTAACTTTCGTGTGAAACTAATGTGATTGACGCAATTCGCTTTCTCTTAGCGTAAGCTATCGTTATGTCGGACGGTATCTTACTTGTCAATTGGTGTATAAGCGACCTTTGTGTGAAATAGAATATAAAATAAACGTAAGCTTATTTCTTAGATAAATCTACAGATTCCTTTTGTACTTGTGCGTTCGGCGTGTCCTCTGTGGTGTTAACTGCTGTGTTTTTACATGTTAGCGTGTACCTTAGGCACCCGCTTCTTCAAGTACTGCGCCTTGTGTTTTGTGTGGCTTTATATGACTCATAGAAATGTCGGTCTGCAAGTAACCTTGAGCTTGCATTCGAGTTGAATCGAACTCGATACCCTGTAACAGCTCTGCTACCTTAGATAAAGCAGAAATGTGGAGTGCCCTTCTTAAAGTAGAGACTTGAGGTTCAGCTATGTTGTGTTTTTTATACCTGAAAAAATATGTATATTTGTAGGAGCTCCGGTTTCTTGTGTTTATGATACGCCATCTTCTGCTTGTGTTTATTTCATAAATGGAAAAATATGGTAGCAAAAAATTAAGGAAAAGATGTGAACCCTTTCGACAGCTGCATGCGGATGAAAAAAACCGAGCACTTTTTGTCCTGTGTGCTCTACAGGTTCTGCGGCCCCGTGCTGTGGCCCCATGTCGTCCATGCTGGGGTGTTGTGAGAAGTGTACTTGAAGTGTTGCATTTCAAGCTGTATTTTTGTTCTCGCTGTCAGAAAATGTTAAGAAGCGTTGACGTAGCGAATCTTCTATCTTCTGTCCGTACCCAAAATTTACCACAAAAGATATTTAGACTCTAAATACGAGAGCATGAATATATTTTGTAACAATACCGTAAGAATTGTGTACGATGAAAAGTTTTGTATGATGCTAAAAGGATAAAATTAAAAGATTAGAAACAAACTTTGGATTCATGTTTGCCTTCTACCCGCACGCTTCCAGGGAGATAACGAGTTTTGCGTCAATTGGTGACAAACCGACACGTCATCTCCACCATCCGTTCCGGTGTGCATCTTTTTATTTAGAACCAACTCAAAGCAAGTCCCAGCTCTCGGCGATAGATTCCAGCTTCTTCTCGGACTTCTTCAGGCCAGTCTGGAACGAATCCTTCCATCCCTTCAGCAGAGCGAAAAGCTTCCTGTAGACAGAGACAAGAAATCAGCACTCAACCACAAGAATCAGCCTGTCTTTTAAGGTAGTGTGTCACAAAAATACGCACTGGACACTGCTGTTCTGCTTGGTGTGTTCCGCCTGGATTTGCTGCATCTGTTTCTTGAACAGATTGGACTCATCCTGCAACTGTTGGCTGAAGCCTTTGCTGAAGATGGCGGAGGCCTTCGTCTTGATGGCCTTGACTGCCGGGGAGTCCGACGACTGGCCGGTCAGAAGAGCCGTCAGACTCTTCAGAATCCTTTGCTGGAAGGGTATGAAAACAATCATGGCTCATTTCGCTCAAACGCATGGTGGCTGGCGAGAAGGTGTCTTACCGAAGACTGCTTGAGCAGTTTGATCTCGTTCTCGAAGTGGGCCTTGATGAGCCTGGAGCCTCTTCGCTGGCGGACGTCCTCCAGGTTCTTGAAGGCCGCCGTGATGTGGTTCACCATGACGTTGAGCCCCTTGCCGCCCGCCTCCAGCTTGTCGATGAAGTCCTTCTCGGCCTTCCGCTGGGCGTACAGCCCCTTCACCATCTCTAGCTGCCACTAAATGCGCCAAAAAGGGGTTATAAACTCCAAATTCCATCGAAATTAATTTGCAAATATGTGGTTCTATCAAGAGAAAATCCCATGTTGCAATGAACTACACACCGCTGCTTTGGCGTCCTCCTGGATGGAGTCTGACTCCGACGGGTCGCCGATGGGGTCCGCGACGTCTCGCTGCCCAGCGACAGAGAAATCACGTCAAAACATCGCCGTTCGACAAAATAATTGAACCCCACCTTGCGCTTCGAGCAACTACTACCTTCTCTCCATCCTCGCTGACGTAAGTGTCCGCGAAGTCGTCGTCACTGCTCGACTTGGTCTTGGCGGCGGCGGCCTGAAAATTGCCGCCAAACGTGGCGATTTTCAAAAGCAAGGACGGAAAGCGTGAGCGGGACGAAAGTGAGAGTGAGGCTGACCTCGGCGACGGACACCAGAAGCAGGCTGGTCAGGCAGAGCGCGGCGAGCGTGGCGACGGTAGAGCGTAGAGCAGCCATGGTCCCAGACGTGTGTCTAATGCCGCGAGGGCGCGGAGAGAGCCTCGCCGCCTGGCCTCGCCCGGTGTTGTCGAACCGCCAACAACTTTAATGCGTTCATCACGACACGATAAGGCGAGGATGGCCAAAAATCGGGGCAATAATTTGACCGCTCGGGGACGGAAGGCAAAACAGGCGCGCCAGGCGAGGGTTGTCCGGGCCGGGGCACGCAGCTGCCATGCCCGCACCCCTGCGGCCGAGAGGACAGGCCTTCCCGCCGCGCGGCGACGCTTGCCGGGCACGGCGCCGTCCTGGACTTGCGCGTGGCCGTGGCGTCGGAGGCGCGTCACGCGGCGTGACGGTGGCCGGCAGCACGACGTTAGCCCATGCTCCGGCCAAACACACTGTACAGTGTACGTACCCGCCAACCAAATTCTGCTTCTTTCTCCGAATCCTTATCAAATTTCATTGAATTCCATTGACGTCTGCCCTGCTCTGGTATGACAGCCATTCCAGTCCTCGCCCCCTCAACTTGCACCGCCTCGGATTTTGATTATGGAAATTAAACACTGATTCTTTGTTTGTTCATAAATTATATAATATTCACAAGTTTATCACAAGTTGGAAGTACTAGGTACTCGTACAAATTATTGCTCATTTCACAATCACCAGCGCGCGCGTCGCTCGGCGCGATACGCAGCGCGGCACTCGATCGTCATCAACTAGCTCAGAGTCAGCGCGTACAGTTTTTAAAAAATTGTTCACGAAAAACACACACACACGCGGTAACACCTGTTTCCGCTTTTTGCTTATTATTTTCACTGGGTTTCAGGAACTGAGGCGGGTCTCTTCTTGTAGCAGCTTTCAGCATCCTTTCACCGGGCCGGGCACCCCACCCGCCCTATTCCAGTACACTGGAGGCCTCGCGGCTCGCCAGCGGGGCGGTGGGGGCTTTGGAGTGCTGCAACCACGCGCGGCTCGGAGTCCTCCGGGCGTGGAGCGTGGGTCGGCGGCCCCGTGCCGTGTCTCCGCCTCCCCGGGGATCGTGGCCGTCGTGGCGGCGGCGTCACTATTCTGGTCCTGGACGCAGCAGACTGGGCCGACTCCGAGAGTCTCGCTCTGTCTCTCTCGCGCCGAGACGCGACGCTCCGTGAGTGCGAGAGAGACAGACGGCCGCCAGTCCGCAGGGCGGTGCCACAGTGCCGCGGCGCTACACTGCCGAGTTCTGCGCGGGCGCGGTGGCCGCCTCGGCGGCCGGCTCGGCACTGTCCTGCGTCACGGGGACCGCGGCCTTCTCCGCGTCCAGGGTCTGCTTGAGTTTGCCGTCGTCGGCAACGAAGCCCGAGTTGATCACCCCGCTGGACAAGCCGTTGTTGTCCTGGGGTGCCTCCCTCGGTTTTCTCGCTGCGGGAAAAAATGGATTTAAGCATCTCGCTCTGGCCGGCTCCAGTTAACAGCCAACAACGGCGCGAACCTCTGGGCGCTCTGAGCGACTTCTCGATGGCCGTGATGGGCGACTCGAGGCTGAGGGACAGCAGCGCGCCGCAGACCGTGGCCAGCACCAAGTCGGACAACATCCTCTCGACCTGGTGGCGGTGGGGAAAAAGGAAAGTCAGTGTACTGTTCAGAGCGACGGACGGCGGGAGCGGTATTCGAACCCAGGAACTTGCCATTTTGAAGTCGGAGTAGTAGTCGGAGGTGCGCATGGCGCCGACGTCCACCATCTGCACGGCGGCGTGGGTCAGGTAGATGCCGTACGTCAAGCGGCCCAGGATGGCCATCGGGGTCCACGACAGGAAGGCGTTCACCGGGCCTGGAAGAGACATGTTCAAGTTCGGAAAACTTCCCTTGGAAACAAAACCCATTGCGGCAGTCTCGTTCTATCTCACCTCCGTGGCCCAGAATACAGGCGAAGACGACCCAGCAGATGCCGGCCGACCAGGCCAGGCGGTACAGGCCCATGTAGATCGAGGACTCCCACACGTTGTACTCGTGGTGCTCGGTGTCGAACAGCGGCTGGGCGCCGAACACCACCGTCAGGCACAGCGCCGTGCTCATCACCCAGCCGAAGATCACCTCGTTCTGGAAAACGAAACAACATTTTTATTGACCGAGCTGAAAGCAGCAGAGGCAGAGGGCAATGGCAAATGCGTACAGTGGAGATCTTCCGCGTGTACTGGCCCGTCTTGATGAGCCACAGGAAGTAGCCGGCCAGGGTGCCGCACGCGTACGAGGTGATGCGGGTGTGCATCGGGTAGTAGATGAGCTTCATGAAGTGGCGCTGGGCGTCCCGGCTGTCAAAAGGCGTCAAAAGAGGGAATTGATGGGTGGACTTTGCATTGGCAACAAGAAAAACGGGACGACGTCAGTGGAGGTAACGTAACAACAAAAAGTGCCCAGTAATGCGCGGCTCGAGAGCGCCAAGCTGTCGCCGCCTCGATAACGCCCACCAATCGCACGGCATCGCCAGGCGTCGCGGCGCCCTATCTGCGCGCACTTTGAATCACAGTGTGCCCACTGCTGGCTTTGTTTTGGTTTGCGGCAGTTTGCAGTGCAGGCGGCGCACCGTGGGCGGAGGCGGTCGAAATTCCGGACGCGTTTTGAGCTCCAGAGTCGCTGAATGGGACTCAAATCGAACGTGTGACCCCACCAATGGATTGCTCTCCGCACGAGGAACCTATTGGTGGGGTCACACGCTCTATTCGAAGCCTGTTTAGTGACTCTGGAAGTCAAAACGCGTCTAGAGTTCTGGCCGCTGGCGCCGGCCTTCCGGCAAATCCACTTACCTGAGGTCCGTGGAGACGGGCGAGCGGAACTTGTTGACGTAGGTGACGGCGAAGGGCACGGCGCAGGACGCCAGGATAACGACGCCCAGCCAGCTGAGGCCGATGCGCCGGTACTTCCACAGCGGGATGAGCACGAGTGGGGACAGGATGTGCAGCTGCATGTCCACCATCAGATACCACGACTGCATCATGCACTGCTCGCCGGGGTTGGCATAGTTGGCCACATACAGCAGCGCCGTCCACCACCACTTGCTGCAGTGGTCGGCCGGCTCCTGCACCACAGTGTACCAGAGCGGGCCCGTCCCCAGCAGCGACACCCAGGTCGCCGTGATGGCCACCATCATGGCGAAGGCCGGCGTCAACCTGGAGGCGGTGCACACGTTAAGACAGTCCCCGAGGGAAAACTTTAGAAGGTCTTGTCCTTAAAGTCAGCCTCTCCGGCCGCGGGCGTACCTGACGTAGCGGTGCACGTAGTACATGACGATGTTGAAGGAGCGGCGCCCGGTCTGGGACCTCATGAAGGCGTAGCAGTTGACCATGCCGCCGATGAGGAAGAAGGTGTCCACGGACAGGGGGGCGTTGGCGATGGCCATCGTGGACGCATCACTGGCGCGCTGTGGAAACACCAAACTTAGAGATCGGCGGGGCGAGGTGGTGAGGATGGTTCACCTCGTGTGCAAGAAATGGCATTATTGTGTTGTTATTTTGCGTGGGGTTAGGTGACGAGACTTCTGTGACGCAACCATCCTCCTGCCCTTTCGTGCGTTAAAAACACGCTAATCCAGATTCTAGACCCGAAGATAGCGGCAGCGTAGTCACGTCCAGTGCACTGTTTACAAAACAACCCCATCGAGCGCCCCGCCCCGGCCGAGCTGGCAGCACGGCGTGGCACGGCGTGGCACGGCTGCCGGGCCGCCCGGCAGGCAGGCAGCGCGGCAGCGGGCGCGCTCGGCGGGCCTGCCTACGCCGGCTTGGCAGGCGCTCTGCCTCGCTCCGGCCGGTCACGCAGCCACGCAGCCCGTGGTCCACACTGTACAGGGGTCGGGACGCGGCCCCGCTAGAGAGCGACGGCGTCATGGGGCGTGCGTGAGTTGGAGCGAGAGGTCCGGGGGTCGGTCTGCACGTGCCGTGCCTGGCGGTCCTGGGCGGGGCGCTCCAAGTCACTCACTAATCCAGCTCCATTATACGCCAGCGAAGGAACCTGGCGGGGTTCGGATCAGAGCGCAGCGCGTACAGTGTGCCTTGCTTTTTCACCTGGCCTGCGTCATTGCTTTGCACACAGGGCAACAGCTGGCACAGTGCACCCGCACGTCCAAACGCTGACGGCGGGAGGAGGGGGGGGGGAAGCTCGCGCATCGGCCGACTGCAATCAAGGTGCCAGGCCCACCCAGGCCCGCCCAGGCCTGCCTCACGCGGCCTCACGTGTGTCTATCGCTGGATCAAGTGGCGAGTGACACCGTGGAGCACCGCCAGTGCCCCGCGAGCCAGCCGGCCTAAGTGCGTGACGCACTCGGAGATTGTGTCTTACAAGGTTGACGAATTTATCGGGCTTCGCGCGGTTCGCGGGCCTCTTCAGACCGGCGGCTGTTCGCACGCCCCGTCGTTTACATAGTTATTGGACTTCGAGTGCCCTCGGCTTTTCTTCGACTTGGGTGCCGAAGATGGCGCAGAGACCCACCTTGGGGATGGTGAGGAGGTTGGTGAAGGGCACCTCGAGGCCGAACCGGTAGCGGTGGCCCAGGATGACCCAGGCGGCGGACAGGAAGCGGATGCCGTTGATGCACGTGAAGTTGGAGTCGCTGGGCGGCGCCACGGTCAGCAGACGCCGCCCGTTGGTCCACGCCGAGAAGGCCAGCAGCATGCCAATCTTGTCCCGGGTCTTTTTCGCTGCGGACAAATTTCACTTCAAATATTCGCTTTTTTTAAAAATTTTTTAAAGGATCGCGACGGAAATTGCTGTCGCTCCGGTTCCTATCACAGGTGGAAAAAGTGAGAACGATAACGAATTGACGTCAAAAGAATGTTTCAAAACTTCCTTTCCTTTCCTTTCCTTCCCTTTGACGCGCGCGCGATAGGTGCGCGCTGTTTTAGTGCCCGTCAGTGACAACTGATAGGGCAAAGGTGAAGATACGGAGATACGGCCAACCCAGCCCAGAGATTACTTTGTGCCCGGTAGCGCGGCCGTCCTGCCCCGCCCCGCCCCACCTCGCCCCGCCCCGCCCCGCCCCGCTCCGCTCCGCCCCGCCCCGCCCCGCCCCGCCCCGCCCCGCCTCGCCCCGCCCCGCCCCGCCCCGCCCCGCCCCGCTCCGCCCCGCCCCGCCCCGCTCCGCTCCGCCCCGCCCCGCCCCGCCCCGCCCCGCCCCGCCCCGCCCCGCCCCGCTCCGCCCCGCCCCGCCCCGCGCAATGACCATCGCGGAGACGCGCAGCCGCGCGGCCGTTTGCCGCTGACCCTGTTTAGTTTATCTCAGTGGGGCGCTTGCAGATTTGGCGAGATTCCCCCACTGGCTCACTTTCTCTCTCTCTCTCTCTCTCTCTCTCTCTCTCTCTCACTCACCGGACGGACTGAGCGCGATGTCGATGACGGAGGCGATGAGCATGAGGAACAACAGCACGACGCACAGGGTTCTGGAAACGAGAGAAAGTGTCAGTGCTGTAACGCCGTAATGGCGATTCGATAGTGTAGGCATCCCGCTGATCCCGCGAGCCTAGCCCAAGACCGCCAAGGCCGTAATCGGCGCCAGGGCAGCGACGACGGTAGCGCTTTTCCTGAACCCGGGCTGTCTCACGGAGGCTTAGTGGATTGAGCCACCATTATTGATCCCTGATTCGTTCAATCTGTCGTACGGTCGTCTCCGCCAGTGCGCCGGTCCGTCGGCCTGACACCCGAACGCCATAAATCGCGACGCCAGGCGAAGGACGAGGGCCGGCCGCCCTGACCGCGGTTATCGACGCACATAGGCCGAGCCGTCACGACCACGTCCACCCGCAGGTCCCATGGTGTAATGGTTAGCACTCTGGACTTTGAATCCAGCGATCCGAGATCAAATCTCGGTGGGACCTGGTGCAAATTTTTTTTTTGCACATTTCAACTTGACTTACATGATGACGAAGTCCCCCGCGTTGCCCTTGCGGAAGGGCCCCGCCACGGCGGTGTACTCCTCGCGCATGGTGGGCACCACGTGGTACCCGAGGCCGGCCACCAGGGCGTTGATGGGCCGGAACACGGACACCATGGCGGCCTCCACGATGGGGGCCGTGCACGTGCTGGGCACGCACAGCGCCATCCGGATCGTCGCCAGCGCCTTGTACTCGGTGGTCTCGTTGGAGGCCTTCAAGGAAAGGGCGACTTTTTAAAAAGCGGAGTGGAGGTCAGATGCGTGCTTGATAATGTCCATTTGGCGGATTTATCAGACTTCGCTATCGCACAGCGGGCAGGCTTCCGCCGCTTAGGGGATGATAAGAAAACGTCACCCCTGACGGGGGTCGAACCCTCACCCTGACGCGGCGGCGCTCGAGCTCGGCCTGCAGCGGGCCCGGAGTGACGGTGGGGGTGACGATGGACTGCACGGCCAGCGAGGCCAGGGAGTACCGCCCCGTGAACCCGTTGCCGTCCTCGGTGTCAGAGCTCGTCGGGCCGCCCGGGCCCGCGGCCAGGCACTCGTCGAAGTTGCCCAGGTCCGCCAGGTCGCCGTACAGCACGCCCGTCACCAGCTTGGAGCTGGAGTCCACCACTGCCAACAACGAGGGGGCGTCAGTACCAACACAGCCCGAGCCTCGGACCCACCCCGGAGGGAGGGCCAGATTACTCCAGTTACGTCAACGCCGACGACGCCTGAGAGAAACAAAGTTTAAAACACAGAGCTTACAGTCGTCAGCCAGTTAATCCGGGCTGTCCATCACGGTTTTTTCCTCTTTATCACAAATGGCGGGAGAAATAAAAGATGCCAGCCTCTGCTTTCAGATCCCTTTCCGTGGGGCGCCACCCATCCGGTCACCAATTTACAGCGTCGTGACTCACGGCGTTTCTTTAAACGGTGTCTGAACGCAATGACGCCGGAATGACGCGCGCCCTCCACATCCTGGCCGTGTGTCACGGCGTCCCTGCGCGCCAGACGCATCGCCAGATTATCCCCAAGATAGAGCCGCGCCTACTTTCCCACCCAATCTCCACGACGCTAGAGAGTGACGAGTGTCGAAGCATCGATATGCATGCAAAACCACTAGGCGTTCGTTGCCGGACTTCCCTCTGCCTTCCCCTCCGGCAGTGTCTGTCTCTCTCGCACTCTCGGTGCGGGCGGTCGGGGTGCGAGAGAGACAGAGCGAACCGGCTGCGCAGATCAGGCAGCAGGTGCAGCGGGTCGCTTTGGGCCCGGATTAGCAGGATTGCGCGAGATTACTCACTCGTGTCCGCTAATTCCTCGCAGGGCTTTTCAATAATTTGGGCAAGGCATTCCCCATCACGAAAAGTTCCGATTCTGCGGCGTGGCGATCCATTTTCGCTCGTGGTTACGGAGCAGAGCCCGCGCCTCCCCGTCGGCCGTCGGGGGATGACGTGACTGGGGACCAGGCCAAGGCCGGCGGTCCCCGCCATCGCCGGAAGCAAGCGATCGTCAATGGTCGCTGCAGACTGACTGATTCCGAGAGTCGTTTTCGTCGCTGTGTCTCTCTCGCACTCATGGGCCTCCCCTTTTGGTGCGAGAGGGACAGAGTGGCAAAAACGAGTCGCGGAATCAGTCTGCTGATGGTCATTGGTGGCTCGTGTTGCGGAGAGCACCCTGCCCGCACTGCGCGCGTGTGCGTGCGTGCGTCTCTCTACCTGTCGCGGTGGATTTGTTTCATTGCCACTTGCCACACTCCGCACTCCAGCCATGCGGCAGAGCGGCAGAGCCGACAGTGCCGTCAGTCACCACCAAACCGCAAACCCATTCCGAACAGCAGCGCTCTGTCTCCCTCGCACCCCTACGTAACGCCCAGTGAGTGCGAGAGAGGCGGGGCGACGAAAACACTGTGCGGAGACAGCCTGCTGGAACGACCCACCCCTCCCCTCCCCTCCCCTCCCCTCCCCTCCCCTTCCCTCCCCTCCCCCCTCCCCTCCCCTCCCCCCCCCGGCCCGCCCGCCCCTCCTTTCACCCCGACAGCACAGAGAGCAGTCGGCAGCCGGAGAGCTCAGGGGGCTTAGGGATCGGTGTCGCACCGAACACGTGCTCGCTAACGAACCCGGGCCGCGACCCGGCGCGCGCGGCCCCCGAGCCCCCGACGTGCCCGACGTGGCGGCGTGGCGGCCGCGCCGAGCCGCGTTGCTTTTGGCGCGTCAAAGTGGCCACCCACCGCCACCGCCCCCAAGCCAGCCCCGAAGCACGCCGAAGGCCACCAACGCCGGCAGAGCCAAGGCAGGGCCAAGGCAGCGCAGAGCATTCCGGGAGGCTCCGAACGGTGCTTCATCGCTCCGTCTCTCTCGCGCCCCGACGACGGAATGCCCCACGAATGCGAGACAGACAAGGCATTGCTGCGCACGCGGCTCGTGGCACGGCCGGACCAGCAAAACAAGCAAGAGACGGGGTCGGACCCACCGTCCCACCGCCCTGCCGCACAGTGCGCCAGAAGACCGGTGGAGGCGGCCAAAACTCGAGACGCGTTTTGAGCTCCAGAGTCGCTTAAAAGTGCTCGAACCGAACGTGTGACCCCACCAATGGATTCTTCGTTCGGAGAGCAATCCATTTGTGGGGTCACACGTTCGGTTCGAGTCCTGTTCAGCGACTCTGGAGCTCAAAACGCGTCTAGAGTTTTGTCCGCCTCCACCGGTCTTCTGGCCCACTGCGAACCGGCCAGTAGGTACAGTACGCTGGGCCCGTTGTTGGGCCTCCGCCTCCGGGGTGAACCACCTGAACCACCCTCCGACTGCTGCCCGCCGGCTTTGCCTGGGCTTCGTGGCGGATTCCACGATTCTTTCGGCCAACTAGTCCAGCGTGCCATCGCATCGCCGCATCGCCGTTGTGGTGGAATGGGGATGCTGTTACCGCACCTCGACGTCGCGGATCTGGCTGCGGGCCGCGGGGCTTCCGTCGGCGGCTATCGCGGCCCGCGGCTCAAGGCTACGGAATCCAGGGAAAGGTCCCCAAATCGGGAATGTCTACACGGCGCAGAGGCGGCACTTGATGGCGGGGAGGGAAGCACCACAGCGCGGCACGCGTGACAACACACGAGGCCCACTAGTGACAACCCCGCGCGCTGTGGGTGGGTGGGCACCCCGTCTGCGGACAATCTTATGTCCATTCAACTCACTCTGAATCGCCCACGTCTCCAGGTAGCGCAGCCCCGCTCCCCAGCGCGCCAGCGCGAGCTCGCAGTCCGCGGCGCCCTTCTGCAGACTCGGCGACTCCTGCACCTTGTCCTGCATGCCCTCCTTGACGTGCTCCAGCAGGCTATCCGGCTGGACCAGCTTGGCGAACGCCTGCAGCAGCGTCGTCTCCAGGAAGGCGTCCAGGCGGGCGTCGCTGTCGTCCAGCTTCTCGGTCCCGTTGAGCACGGCTAGGCACGGCGAGGCCGCCAGCAGCAGCAGCAGCGCGCGCGCCGCGGTGGACGACTTGGCGGACGTCAACAACATCGCGAAGCTGCCGAGTGCCGTGCCGTGTCCGAGCCTGCCCGACGCGCACCGTGAGTGGGCTTCGACTGGCGGACGCAGACTGGCCCAGACTGGCCACTGGTCCGTAGCGTACCGTCAATCAGTCGGCCGGCCGTCAAGCCGTCAGACCGTCAGGTGGACGAGAGGCTCAGGCTCGAGGGCCTCGGGCTGGCTGCGGGGCGGCAGGGCCTGGGGCAAGGCCTGGGGCCCGGCCGGCCGGGGCCGCGCGACGACGTCCATCCGACCGGCCAGGTCCGCGGCACACCATGCCGCCACGCCGCGCCCCTATCTTCTTCTACTTCACTGTGGTGTACTTCGGTATCGTCAAGTACCAGCGGCCACAGACCGGCCAAGCACCTGGCCGGCGGGCGGGCCGCTCTGCCATGTCCTGCTCTTCCAGTGCACCGCGCGCAACTCATTTCGCATTTCCAGTGAAAAGACCGCCGACGTCGCATCACGGTGGAATTTAAATTTGAGGTAGTTTTGGCCGTTTCGTGTTTCATGGTGCATGTGACTTTACTCAGGGGCGCTGTCATGTGTCATGGTGAGAACTAGGCCTGTTATGATGGAGTGGACAGCTTGAGGCATCAGGCAACAATAACAAAGCAAGGCACAAATTCATAAATTCCTCACTTTATTCAATTCAAACACTTTTCCACTTTGGATTAAACTGTGAATATACATCAATCACATAATGAATACACATAATCAAAATATTTTGGTATCATATATATATATATAGATCCTCCTCAAATGACTTCATGATTATCACGTCTGGCTGCACACACAGCTTCACAAGGAATGTAGCTTTATCAGCAATTCTTACCTAAGTAAGTTCACGTCCCACATCTTGCATGAGAGGATTTATTTTTAAATTTTAATTTGCATCAAAAAGAATGATCATAGCAACTTATAAAGCACTCAATGGTCTTGAGATAATACGGCAAGGGATTGATGTGTTGCCAACATTCAATATTAATGGGCAAGAAAATGCCAACACATCATGCTCTGGTGGGAACACGCCGCCACATAATAAACTACCCCTATTTTATAAAACTCAGGCCATCCATGGGCAACTGAATCCGCTAGCTTAAAAAGATACTGCTGTAGCAACTAAAATAGACACTATTCTTAAAATTTCCAGTAACCACCAAAATAAATCAAACTTTGCTCTTTTGGTTAGGCCTTGAAGAGGCAATTGTGCTCATGACATTTTGTTGAGTCATTAAAATATCCATGTGATTGTACCTGGAGCAAGACAGATACCAATACATTAAGAGTTTAGAACATAAGCATTGAACGTAAAATAATACGAAATCAAAATGAATTGGATTAACAAAACAATATCATACTTGGATATGTGGGTTGGGATAACCCACCTTTTAACAATACATATGATTTTTTCTCTAACATCACTAGTCAAATAATGGTATCTTTATGGAGATAATAGTGGTCTCACACAAAATGTGTGATGCCTAAGTGGAGGAAATTAACTTCACCAGGCTAAGAACGAGCCCTTCAATTTCAACCGCCCATCGAAGCACAGAGTGCAGTAAGCCACATCACTGACCATACCATATTTCCTGATGTGGGAAATAAAACCTTATAACTGATTTTGTTGAGCAGGACACACTCTCACATACACACACAGAAAAGTAAATCATGTGGTACAAGTCAATGTTCACCGATACAAACTATGCATTAACAAAATAACGTTCAATAATGTGTCTAATCAATAAGCATCTATAGTCAGATCTGACACAAAAAATCTTGGTCAGATGATCATGAAAAGACATGATAAGGTCAAACAGACTTCCAAAACCAAAACAACTCAAAGCCCTAACTATTTAGTGGGTAAAGCTGTAATAATAGCTTAAGACTAGCAACAGCACAAAAATATTGTGCTTCACAATTAAATGAAGAGAAATCACCTGCACCACTGAACTACATAACAATAAAAAGCAGAATACCATAACTGCTTCAAATGCAGTTGATTGCATGCAATCATAGGTTAAGGAAATTGTTTGCCTTGCACATAGAGGCGCTTAAAAATCTGCATTTGCAAGTGAAGAAATGCTGATTGATTTATTGTCAAGAGCAAAGAGGTAAACATTGAGAAGGTGCATGGCACTAATTGAAAATGAAACAATCACATAACATAACAAAGAAAACATTGCTAATCTAGGATAGTGAAAAGAGAAATAAGAAAAAAATATCTAGAATACAGACAAGAAAATATAAAGTTATCTTGCACCTCACAATACCCAACTAAATGAGATGCAGCTGTACATCTGCTAGCACAGTTTACTATTTAACACGTTCCATAGAGCCTGTACATGTATAAAATGAGAATTTTTGAGTACAAAATTTACTTTTAAACAAAACATTTGTTTGCTGGCAGCACAAAAAAAACTGCAACTTCAAAAACATAGATTGCATTAAACTACCAGCAAGATCAGATCTGAAGTCCCTACAGTAAATTGTTTGGTCAAATAAGATAAAAGTAATCATATTTATCTATTATGGACAGCCAAAGAGTAATACCAACAATATAGTAAACACAGGTCAAATTTGTATGTCAATTGTTACGATCTAAAATACCCAATTTGATAGTTACTTCCGGGAGATCAAACAATCTTTGATTCTGAACTGTTGGAGGAGTCACCAAACAGATTCGTAGATGAGTACATGGACAGTGGTACATAAAATATACCAAAGAGCAAACCCTGAAGATCACAATGCTTATGTTATAATACATAGTTAGAATAATACAATATTTTTGTTTTCAGAAACAAGTCACGAAAGTTAAACTCAAACAAAAGTGCAACACAAGATCACATGACTAAAAGAAATATTATAAAAAAAAAAAAAAAAAGAAAGAAAGATAGTGGAGTCAAAGTTTACAAACGCAAAAAGAGATTAATAAGTAGGAAAACACATCATGGCTGTAATCAATAAGTAGATCCAGTTAAGTTCTAAGTAACATCAGTCTTTCAGGAGCTGGAGTCAAAGTGAGACACCACAAAATAATGAGTTGTCCACACAGCTCCCATGTCATCTAAAATTCGTTTCCTAATGAATCGCACCATGCATCATCTGTCCCGTTCACTCTAAAGTTTTACTAAATAAACAGAATGAACTCCAACCAATAACCCCAGCTCCCCATTGACATATTTTAAAGAGACATATCACACAGATCATTACAAATAATTGTAAGGAGGTAGGACTAACATCAAGTGCAGTGCAGTCATTCAAAAAGAAAAAAAAAAAAACAATGACCGATTCTAAGAATGCTAAATGTCCATAGGACTAAAAGCTTTGAATAGCTAATTATCACTCTCAAGCTTCTTGAAAAATAACAAACAAAATATTTGAAAAAAAAATAGAAGCAAAAATCACAATTTTAAGCAGAAGAAGCACTTTAAAGTACTCAATGCAAAGAGTCAGAGTGGCCATTCAAAGCACACCTTATACTAATGGTGCCAATACTTACGCTGAACCACTTGCTTGACAACAATAGTGAGTTCAGTTTAATTTGACACCATTCTCAAATGACAGAGGAGTCTCCAAAGTTAGATCTATAAACAAAGAAAACCAGGAAAAATAAAATTCGTTCCAGCCATACAAGAGAAAGAAGTTTCATGCTCCTTACACTATAACTTGATGTCTTATGGAATTGATCAGGAATCTGTGATAACAGTGCATTTTGTTGCCAGGATGGCAAAGTCAACTAGTTACAATGAGAATAGTCCCGCAATGCCTTCTTAATAAGTCCTACACTCCAAGAAAGAGACGGCTAATTTGATATAAGAGCTCAAGTGTGCATAAACCTATGGTTCTGATGTGCTAAAATTCTTAGTGCGAGCTAAATTAGAACACTACCCGTAATGACTGACACTCATCTCTTCATGAGCTAATAGAACCTTTGCAAATGAAGGGATTTTAACTTAGCATTAGGGTAGGTCAGTGAGAAGTACAAGGAAGATGGCTTACAGCGTATGGTAGCTGCGCTGCCTGGCTTGGTAAAACTTCCATGCCACAAAGGCAATCGCCATCATTCCAAGAGCCAAGACGATGCCACCTGAAAATATCAATCCTCTATTAATGCAATGTTAAAATTGAAAACTTTAACTTTTGATAATGAAGAACTAACAAACTTACCAATGAAGCTGGGGCCATCAAAGTGACGAGATTTACTGGCTGGGGTGGTTGTGATGGGAGCAGGGGCAGGTGTAGGAGTTGGAGTCGGTTTAGGAGTGGTTGTTGTGGTGTTTGGAGCTGGGGTTGGAGGGGATGGTGGCACAGTTGAAGTAGTAGTGTTAGGGGATGGGGTTGGAGTTGGAGTAGGAGTAGGAGGGGGTGTTGGCTTCACAGTTGAAGTGGTGGTGTTAGGGGATGGGGTTGGAGGAGGAGGAGGAGGTGGCGCCTGAGTTGTACTGGTGGTGGTAGGAGGTGTTGGCTTCACTGTTGAAGTGGTGGTGTTAGGGGATGGAGCTGGGGTAGGAGGGGGTGGTGCCTGAGTTGAAGTGGTGGTGGTGGTAGGAGGGGGGGTTGGCTTCACAGTTGAAGTGGTGGTGTTAGGGGATGGAGCTGGAGTTGGAGGTGGTGCCACAGTAGTCGTTGTGGTATTAGGATCAGCGGCTGCATGAGCAGGAGTCAAAGTAGGTGAAGATTGAGGCAGCACTGATGGAGTGTCAGTAGCAGCCAAAGGCTGCACTGCAGCATTTGCTGTTGATACGCTCTTGGCAGAGTCAGGCAAGCCATGGTCACCTGAAACACAATGTAAACATGATAGAAAAAGTCACTATTAAATGAAGAAAAATTTTAGGCCTCATTCCAACTTACTGTTAGGTTGTACAGTTTCAGTAGCTAAAGCACCTGTAACAAGATAAAATAATGTTTTTAGCACCTTAAATTGTAATAAAAAAAAGTGTGATGAACCAAAGGGGAATACCCCTTGTCCCCACAAATTAAAATACAATACACAACAGCCAGTAAAGAGGCAATGAACACCAAATTAAGAATGCATTTTATAAGAAACGAGGCAGATACAAAACATGTAAATGTGTTTAAATAAACATGAGAAATGGAAATGATGGAATGTAAAGTTTGAGTCAACTCTATCAAAAGTGTCAAAAACAAATAAATTAGTGGATAGGCTCTAACAATAAATTACAAGAAACTGAAATTTGTATCATCAATTGAAAATTAAAGTATCATCTATAGTGGCCAGCAAAGAAACTGGGAAGTTTAAAGGGGGCCCTACAGCAGAAACCTATTGCCTTGTCATAGGCCACAATGTGATTTAGGTCAGCAATATGTACGCGACAAGATGATCATTTACATTTTAAAAATCACTCCCCTCTAAGGATCGACAGAAAAAAGCGATAATTGAGTGTCCGTGCAAAGAATGTCACGACAAAACATCAGCGAAAAGGATTGTGACGGTGACGACTAACCCACATACTGTCTGCGAGCCGACACTTACCTACAGCCGATGAGCCCCCCAAAAGGGCAGAGACTAGTAGAAGTGACAGAATCAAATAACTCGACGTCATTATGACCGGAATCGATTTTTAAAACAACCACAATAAAAATATCAACGCAACAACACCGGACGGTAATATCAAGACAGATGTGAAGTGTGCAACTCAACTCGACTAAATTGAGACTGACGACTACTAGAATGTTCCCCCCCACCACCACCCCCACCACCCACAAAGAAAAGAACAGCAGGAATAGAAACCAGTTGGACAACCCTTGCGACGAGGTATGTTTCGGAAAGCCTTGAGAAACTTCACTTTTCATTCGTAACTTGTATAGATTCTTTATTTCCTTTCCAATAAAAAGATGTTAACTGTATGCCAATTCCCGGTGCAAGAGTGGAAAGGGTTCCTTCTTCGAAGGTTTTGTTTTGTTAACATTGGTGTGATTGTAGCAAGGCTAGTGCGCCAACAACAAAATCAAAACATACATCGGATAACTAAATTTAATTCCAAGTCACGATCTAGCAATACTCCTGTCTTTCAAAAATAAATCGTGCAGAAAAAAAGCTGTAAAATTTTTGAGAAGCAAGAAAAACTAAAATAACGTGCAAAGGTGCAAAAAGTTGCGTTTGCCACCAACAGACGAAATATTTTGTTTTATTTCTGTATGTTGGCATCAAAAAGCTTTCCTTCCTCACTGCGACCGGTTTGTTTGGTGTTGGTGGTCTGCTTCTGTTTGTTTAACATTCATCTCATTTCATCTCTAACTTTATGGTAAAGACAACAAACAAATTTGAATTTAAAGCCAATTTTTGAATTAAAGTCATTTTAGAGGGAGTCCTCTGTAGCATAGCAGTTTGTAATTTTACTAACTTGTTGTTACTACCTTAGGCGAGCTAAAAATATACCAGTTTTATCTTTTTGGTTTCAGACATCATGAATTCGTCCCTTACGTATGAAATATTACTGTACCTGAATTCCTACTACTTTTGGATGTTTGCCTTGTGTGAACTAGGTGTGGGCATATTTAAACTAGTCCATTTACCATACCCATTTGCAACTTTTATCACAGAAGGAATAATGTTCGCCTTTTTGTGCTGCATAGAAGCAGCCCGTATATTTATGGGCCACAAGGGGAACTTGACAGAACGTTCTTACCCAGTCATGGTTTCGCTTATTCTCACGATACCATCATCCATAGGTGTTCTGTACTTTCTCCTCTGGCAAACTTATGTCATTCGATTAGAAGTTGTACTTTGTGGTATTCAGCTGTCTCTGCTCTCATTTGAAATAATTTTTGCTACAGTGTGTATTGTAAGTTTCTATCGTAACAGAATCTATTAAAGACTGAACCTGTAATGCTTTTTAATCTAGAAGATGCTTCTGATTGAGATGAAAAAAGTTATTGTGCTGGCAGAACAGGTCATCAATCAGTATTTATGGTATAAATTTTTGTCATTTAAGTGTCTTTTTGCTAGTCAATTGAATTCAAGATTCACTTCCAAGGATACCAAAGAAAAAGTTTCTTGTTAGGTTGGATGGATTAACAAGATATACTTGAGTCACCAATATTTATTATAAGTGCCTTAGGCGGTAAACATCATATGACATCCCAGCAATTAACAGTTTTACTTAAGAGATGCAGATTTCTCAAGTAAAACCAAATAAGAGCAACAGAAAATTTTAACAAAATTCAGGCTTGTTCATTAAGTTTACTATGAGCATGGAGACATTTCCATGGTTTGAGCAATGAAAAACTGCATAAGTCAACAGATTGTAGTCAAAACCTTTCTGTTAAGAGTCACCAATGTCCTTATTTGGAAGGTAAGGTACAATAGAATTAAGTATCATTAGTTCTTTTCTTTTAAAGAAAACAGTGAACTGCATATTTATATTATTGTAACTGATAAAAACTTAAACAATTTTATGGGGGCGAGCAATTTACTGCCCCCAAACCAAAGAAATGGAATGTAACAAATACAAAATACATTTAATTTACTGAAAACAGAATATAATCTATTTTTAAGATTCCCACCTTTCCATGCACAAAAAAAAATCTTCAATTAAATTAAGATCTTAAACAGTTAAAAAGAAAAACAGTTTTTTCATTACATAAAAGATTCATATTTAAAACAGATTTCTAAAATCTATCACTCATGTCTTACATCAATTGGCTCGGATCAATTAATACAATACACATCTTAACAAAATTTAGTATCATAAATTCACCAAATACTTCCCTAACAAGCCCATCCCAGATAAAAAGTAGCTTAGATACAAACATTTACACACATTTGTAGTTCAATAAATTGAAATCCTTCTCTATGCTGAGCAATTCAAAAACCAGCTTCAATGCAACAATCATCAGGATTTTCCTCCATGACTTTTGAATACCAATTGTCAATTTTCACAAAACACAACATGAAGTACAAAATCAGAGATCTAATGAATACAGTACTAGCACTTAATACTTATAAACCAACATTTACATGGTCCCAGGAGAAATTCCCCAACATAAACAAAATATGTCGCTTCTACTGTCAACTGTTTTATTTGAAGCTTGTTTACAAGCAATTAGAAGAGATTGAAGCCTGGAACGTTTATTATCACAACAGTCTCACATTTTTCTCAAGTATGTTAAGTCACCATACAAGTTCATTGTCACGAGGCATTAATTTTTTTTTTCCAGTCGGGGCAAAATAACTGCGAGCATAAAAAGTATCTTGCTTATATACAGAGTCAAATTAGGCATGGCATTTATGTTTATGCCAAAATAATAATCAAGGAACTGCGAACATACAAAACCAATGTCTCTTGAGACTAAAGTTCAAGTAGTGCCATCTCCATTTGCAAAGAAAAAAATTACCGGTACATGATTAAAAAAATCCATGAATAAATACTAGGTGCAAAAATACAAAAATATATGAAGTGAAAGTTACAAGTTAAGAGTTCTAAGTCTTAAAGCAGTGCTTCATTGAGCAGTTTCTGCCACAAGGGTCAACATGGACCTGACGAAGTGTATTGTTGTTGGTGCGCTATCTACACACCATCTATTTATTTATAAGTCATGAAATTGAATGGGGTATATCAAGAAAATACACCACTTTTCATAAACTTCATATAATACCCATCACATACCCTAGATGTTAAAAGAATACTACGTGTTTAACTTCACTGATCTTTAGAGAAGAATAGGACGATGCTTTGCACATCCCCTTAAAGCTTTTCACATTCACAATCTATACTAATTGTACTCATTAAACAGTGAATGAAGCATATCATCAGTCTTCCCCATCACTAGCATCTCTGCGCTCCTGCTTACAGCCAATATCAATACCTGAATCACTGTCAGGCTGCATTCGAAGAATGTAAGGCAAGACACGTTCCATTTGAACTCGACCAATAAGGTTTGTGAAAAATAAATCCTCCATCACTGGCGGCTGAAGGGCACGTAATGCAGGGAGACGCAGCAGCAACTTGTATACTCTGTCGTTAGAACTGTGAGACTTCAACTCCTGACAAGCTCTATCCTGAACTGCCTCTAATCTCCTCCTAGCAGAGGGGCTCATGCCAGGGGGATCTGCTCCAAAGATGATGAGCACACGCAAGCAAGCATATTCACGCTCATCAGGATCCAAGCGGCTGAAGGCTCCAGCCAAATCCTGAAGTCGCAAAATGTGTTCCATTGCAGCTGCCATACACTCTTCTTCCAACTTATCCATTGAAGTTTGGAGCTGCTGAACAATGGCAGAGAGCAGGGATGGAAGGCGAAGAGTGCGAGCACACTGAGCTAGACCCAAGGCAAATAACTCAGCCCAACAAGAGCGTAACAAACCCAACTGAGTGTGGGAGCGTAGTAACTGAAAGGCAGGTAAAGAACGAGCCCAGTGAACTGACTGGAAGAGAAGTCGAGCAGCACTTTCACAGACAACATGAGCATTTGGAGGGGAGCCAGATGGTAGGGTTGGGGCAGACGCCAAGAAAGAAAGATGATGCGCAACCACAAGAGGGCCTTCCACAATCAGTTGAGCTTCATCCTCATCAGAAAGTTCGCTGTCCTCACCACCTGCCTCCACAGTTTCTGCAAGTCTATCTAACGCAGCAGACATAATGCTTTTGTTCTCATCACCATCGTGCGAGTCATCGTCACCACAATCTCCGGAATCAGTTTGGGCCATGTGGTAGCTGTCAGAGATTTTACTAAAGGAGGATGCTGACAAATCAAGCTCCCCCATGTGATAAGCAGGGGGTGCAGCACCAGCACCGGTCAAAGCCATACCCACATTAAGAGCAGCTTCAGCAGCATCTGCCAAATCTTTACGAATAAATAACTTGCTGTCTGAGGGGAATGCAAGAGCGGCTGCTGCCATGCTCATATCTAGCAGATCACGTTCTCTCTCTCTTTCTCTTTCGCGCTGCTCACGTTCTCTCTCTCGTTCTCGACGATCATTTGCAGGTTTCCGCTCATGCTGAACGGAGTCAGAGCGCATACCCTTATTAAGACACTTTTGTAACCTGCAGTACTGGCAGCGGTTACGATGATGCTTGGTAATTTCACAATTTTTACTACCTCGGCATTGGTAGCCCAGATGTTTACGAATGGACCGTTTAAAGAAACCCTTGCAGCCCTCACAGCTCATTGCCCCATAGTGACGGCCTGAAGCTCGGTCTCCACAAACCACACACTGCTCCATTCCACAGGTAGATCGAGCCTTCTCGGAAACAGGTCCAACAGTGTCTGCCGTCATATCAAGGCCAACATCCACTTTCATTGCCATATCATAGGGATCCCCTCACTGAAACAAACAAAAAAGAATGGCGTATGAAAATTAGGGTATTCCGTCAAAATGTTAAAAATTTTGTTGTTTTTTTTCTTGTTTTTCGAAAAAGCTAATGATATTCCAAACAGCATAATAAACACTTCAGATAAGTTAACCCTGAAAGTGAACAGGTGGAGTGAGTAAAATTTAGAGTGTCAGAAGTAGGTATGTGAAAGCCAAGATCCGGTACAGGTTAATTGACTTCGACGGACGCTACACCTGACCATCACCTACGAGCAGGTGAAAAGCAGAACTCTGGGAAACAACCTCAGAACTAAGAATCTGATTTACATCTTACAATCTCCTAAGACGAGGCAAATTTCTGGTAACCGTCCACGCTCTACCTGAGGAGATAGATATCCTACGGATGACCACAGGTCAAAGTGTCCAGGGTCGATGGTCGTTCGTAGGTACATCCTGTTGGTATCTAGAGCACTTAGATGCTCTGAGGTTTGCACCTCCCTCATCCTGACCGAAACCCGCTTCTTTCCCAAAGTAACGTACCTCTCATACAATCTTTCTTGTTCATCTCAGAAAATGGAGGACAAAACTTGATTCCAAAAAGAAATAAGAGTAAAAAATTGCTTCACAAAGGCAAGCTTCACATCACGTCCGTCTCTTGACCGTGCACCGTGCACTTGTCCTCGCAACACATAAAAAAAGAAGTTTTTTTTTTGTTCTGTTGTTTTGTTTTCGTTTGGTGCGCTGGAGGTGGGAGCTCCTACTACACGAGGCTAGGGTTTCTTGTGGGCGGATGTAGTAGATACGTAAAAAATACGGATGCTATATTTGCTTATTCATATCGAAAATTCAAATAATAAATCTAGGGTTATTTTAAACCAGTCCTTGGGACAGTTCCATGATTTGTAAAAAAAACAGTTATGTTGGTACCAATGCCGACAGCCCTGCTTGCCGCTCTGGCGGCGCGAGTTTTGAACCGGCGCGCGAGATGACTCAGTGTTTGAAAACATACGAATTTGTTTCAGTTGTATTTAAAAATAAAAACACTCGTGCCCTCGAATATCTGCTCTGCCTTTTGAACTAACTGATCCTCTCACGGAAAGAAGTCGGTCCCGAATTCAAAGGACGCCCTTTTCCGTGTTACGTTTCGTCCCTGCCACTTGCACACTGTGCAAAGTACCAGAAAGTGGATCGAGAACATGCCATCGTCGCTGCCGTATTTTCGAACAGAATGGCAAAAAAATAGTATAAATAGACAAACACAGCAACAAAGATGCCAACAACGAAGTAAGTGCCTATACGGCTTGGCCTCCGTCAGTGAAGGGTGGAGTCAACAAGTAGCCCCCTTCTCTCGCATTCAACCCTGAGGCGTGGACAAAACTTTTCGTTTCCGTGTGAGTTTCCCAGCTCGAGGAAGTCGTCAAAACGACATGCAGCACGCAGTTCCCTGCTCAGCGTAGGGGACAAGTTTCCCGCAAAGAACGGCCATTTCGAACTGGAACCGCCAAAATCAAGCGGGTGACCCCTACAGCCGTACAGCCGAAGGCCCCCGAAGGGTGGCGTGACTCGGGCAGCCCCTCTGCAGGCTGAATCCGAAACAACGCTTTGACACTCTGTCTCTCTCGCACCCGTACAGGACGCCCCATGAGAGCGAGAGAGACCGTTTCGGAATGTCTGTTGCAGGGTGGCCGGGGCTGGTGGGGTGTTCCCGAGGATGTGGACTCCCCACCCCGCCCCGCCCCGCGCCCCCGCGCTGGCTTTCCATTGGCGGGGCCCCTTCTTCCCGCGCTGCCGCGGGCCCGCCATTGGTGCTGCAGCTCATGACGTCGGACCCCCCCGGCCCCGCCGCCGCACCATTTGAGGGGCCGTCCGCGAGCGGGGAGCCTCGCGGCTCTCTCTCGCTCTCGCCGTCCGCGCCGCGCGGGCGGTGCGACAAGGATAGCGACGAGGTGTCCGGTGCATCTGTTGGTCGCAGCGGGCCGGCGGCGTTGGAAATGTGGTTGGAAAGCGAGGGGCAGGTTGGAAAGGGGTCGCTTGCTCGGCTGCCGCTACGCGAGGCACTGCGTGTGTGCGGGGCCTTTGAGGCGAAGTGGCACTAGTGCCGCCGGGCCCAGCCACAGTGACCAGCCCTGGGGTGACCCTTGCCCCTGGTGCCCGAGGCCCCCAGGCCCAGCCGGCCACCTGCGGGGGGATCAATACGAGGGGTGGCGGCGCTTAGCGACGGCCCCCGGCTGGCCGAGCCGAGCCGAGCCGAGCCGAGCCGAGCCGAGCCACCCCAACCCCACGACGCGGAGCGCGGAGCGGAGCAACAGGATACGGCTGTGTCCCTCTGCACCCTCTCTGTTCATACGCGGACTCGGTGCGGACTCGGAGCGTCGCCTCGCGTCGTCCCGCGCTCCACCCCACCCCGCCCCACCCCGCCCCGCCCCGCCCACACCTGCGCGCGCTCCTCCGAACGCCCCGCGGAACGCCGCGCCACTCCGCGCCCAGCCAAGGCACAGTCCGGACTGGTCTGGACGGAGAGGACGCCGTCAGCGTCGCCCCTCGCGTCACCCAGCCCAGGCCCGCCGCGACGCCCGCCGCCCCGCGCTGCCGCCCGCGCCCCCCGTGCCCGCCATGGCCCGCTCCCGCACCGTGCTGTTGAGCGTGCTCGCCCTCGCCCTGGCCATGCCCGGCCTGGTGCCCGGCCTGGTGCCCGGCGCCCTGGGGATCGACCTGAGCCGCCTCTACGGCCACCTCCACGCCAAGCGGAACGGTGAGTCCAGAGCGCACGCCGCGCACGCCGTCCAAGTGCACTTGCACTACAAAAGTGCACGTGCACTATAAAGTTAGAAAAACAGTGCAAGAGTTAATTAAATTTTCTGCGATGCGTTCGACACTTCAAACAAAAAAAAAAAAACACGCGGTGGCGTGTTTCATCGTTTCTTTGTTCTGCTGTTTATTTCATTTCTTCTATCTGTTACTTTTTATTTTGTTCCGCGACGCCATCACTCATGCCGCGCCAACGCGAAATTATTTCATAACGGAGGCATGTCTTTCCTTCAGCCGGCACGGGCTGGCTTGTTGCGTCAATCATCTCGCTGTGCTGTCGTGCCGATGCCATCCGACAGTGACACAGTCCGACAGTGTGACAGTGTGACAGTCTGACAATCCGACAGTCTGACACCGCCGCCGGCTGGCGAGCAGCAAAACGCTTCGACTGGCCGTCGTTCGATGGCATCTGCTGCATCGCTCTGTCTCTCTCGCACCGTAAGGGGCACGCACGGCACGCCCCACGAGAGCGAGCGAGACGGCGGCGACAGTGGGGTGACATGTTGCACCGCGTTGCACAGCGAGGGGCGGCGAGGGGGCACCCATTTACGGCTGCCGATTGCGGTCGCCTCGGCGAAACACAAACACGCGCGCTATACTGTTGATAAAGTTGTCGATTTGCGATGAGTTGAAACCGGTTTCATGGAGTAATACCTCACACCCCCACACCACAGTGAGGGAGAGCGGACTCCGGCCCGCCAACGGTGCTGACGGTACCCGCCGCCGCGAGCGAGTGAGTTCAACGCGGGCCTCGTTTTCGGGCAGGTACTTCCCCAATGGACAGGTCATCACCATCTCATTGTCATGCAGAGTAAATAGCGAAATGAAATTAGGTTCGGCCCGTTTCCGTTTCGGCGCCCTTGGCTGCCTAGACCAGGGCCTGGGCCAGGCAGCCTTGGCGCGGAAGGGACGACTCTCTTCCCTCGGCATCCGCAGCGTGTGTGGTAGGTAGGCCTAGTGCCGCCTCTGCGCTTTTCACGCGATGGACCCACCCGTCTCGCTTCTTAGGACGAGGAGATTGGTTCCCGAAAGAGACGTGAGAGAGATTGAAAGCCGGGCCCCGCCGCCGGGAAGGTTCGAAGTTCGAAACGCGCGCGGGTGCGACGCCACGACGCCGAGCGCGAGTCGCACTTGACGTTGTTTATTGTTTGTGCCCCTCGTCGGTTCTTTCACTCCCCTGCTCCTGCGGCCCTGCCTGCCCCTGCAGGGCTGGCTCCTGATGGCCGCAACCCACTGGGCAGGCGAGGTGCCTCGCAAGGGTAAATGTGGACAAAAGGCTCACTTTTTATTATCCCCGTGTGTCAGGAGGGACGCGCGTGTGTGAAGGCGTGTGTGTGTGTGTGTGTGTGTGTGTGTGTGTGTGTGTGTGTGAGTGAGTGTGAGTGTGAGGCAGGGCTGAGAATGCCCTGGGTGAGAGGGGGTCGATAATGGGGTGTGGGGGGAAGGGCGGGGAAGAGCAGGGGCGGCAACGCAACAAATTTGCCCTTCCTGGAAGACCCCGCCCTATGCACACCACAGCAGGTGGCCGAGTGGATGGCAAATCTGGGCGGGCACCACGGCACCGCGGCCAGCGCAAGGACTTAGGCAGGGCCGCGCCGGGCACGGCCAATCCAGCCAATGGGCTGGCGGGGTCGCGGTCTGACCCGGAGGGCCCGGAGGGGAGGCGCTTTCAGCCTCGCTTCCAGCCTCGCTTCCAGCCTCGCTTTCAGCGCGATCGCGGAGGACTGTGCAAACAGAGCAGCCCACTGTTGGATTTCGGATTTTCCCCCTGCACTGCAAACCGGGGCTCGAATCGAAGTGGGGCACCAATCTAAAGGGGATTTGGTTGGAATGATGAAACCCATCGTTGGTGCGCTCTCAGCGGAGAGCGCGCACCCCGGACCTCACAGCGTTTGTTTGGGAGTCAAGTGGACACGAATGCAAGGAGACCATGTGCTGTTTGTCCCAGTACGCGAGTGTAGGCACCGCGGCGGGCGCACAGTGGGCCAGAAGACCGGTGGAGGCGGCCCAAACTCGAGACGCGATTTGAGCTCCAAAAGTCGCTAAATGGGACTCGAACCAAACGTGTGACCCCACCAATGGATTCCTCGTTCGGAGAGCAATTCATTGGTGGGGTCACACGTTTGGTTTGAGTCCCATTTAGCGACTCTGGAGATCAAAACGCGTCTTGAATTTTGGCCGCCTCCCGGTCTTCTGGCCCACTGTGGGGCGGGCGGGGCGGGCCGCGGATCGCAATGCCGACCGTGTGTGCCGAACAAAGGGGAGGCCCGGCAGGCAGCCCTGCGCGTTCCGAACGCAAATACGGCAACTCGGTGCTTGCCGTGGCCGCGCCCCCGCGGCCTTGCCCCGGCCGTGCCCCAGGGCATGCAGGCCGTGCTGCTGGCCGAGTCGCTCCGCGCTCCGCGCTCCGCTCGCTGCTCCGCACAGCGCCGACATGAATTGTTTATCGGCGACGCGGGGCGCGACCTGGCTACCCGACTACCCGGCCTGGCCCGGCCCGGCCCGGCCCCAGCGGCGTCGCCAGCGCGCCAGCGCCGTCTGGCGGCCAGCCTGGATGATGGAGTGGCCGCGCGGGTCGCGCGGGCAATTAATAAAATCACGGCTCGGGTTCTCGACCCCACAGCGGCCACGGCGGCCACGCCTGCCGCACGGCGACACCGGACGCGCGAAGCGTTTACGGACCGCCCTCCGCTCCGCCCCTCCCCTCCAGGTCGCCGTCGTCGCCATCCCCGAGGTAACGAGCAGCCCATCGGGCGCCCATCCCCGACGTATTGGGGCTGGCTCGGCCGAGGGCTTGGCCTGGCCGTAATCAGGAGTTAGTGTTGACACGGCGGGGGAAGGTCGCCCCCACAGAGGGCCAGAAGACGGAGCCGGTCAAAATCCCGGACACGTTTTGAGCTGCAGAGTCGCTAAATGGGGCTCAGACCGAACGTGTGACCCCACCAATGGGTTGCTCTCTAAACGAGGAATCCATCGGTGGGGCCACTCGTTTGGTTCATGACCTGTTTGGCGATTCTGGAGCTCAAAACGCGTCTAGAGTTTCGGCCGCCGGCGCCGGTCTTCTGGCCCACTGTATCCCGGAGCCAGTCAAGCGAACGGCCGAGCCGACAGTCACATCCCACACCCACGCCCCGCGCTCTGCGGCCTGCGGTCCAACTTCCACTCCAAGATTGTCCTTTTCCTGCCCCGCCCCCTCCCCCCACCCGGAGACGTGACACACCTACCGCAGCCACAGGGTGTGCCGGCGGTGCGACCGCTGCGACAGCCTCCGGTGCCTCCGGGGGGACGGGCCGTCACACTCGCGGCCTGACTTCGTGTAACACCCTGTACGTGGCTGCCCCCCCCCCTCCCTGCCACGCGCCGCACGCAACCCGAACACGCTCCGGAACACGACACGTATTTTGAGCGATCGCTCCGGATCCGCAATTACGTCGCCATGCGACGGGATGGCCCGCAGGGGGGGAGGGCTGCACTGGTAGTACACTTCTCGATTTTTAAACATTGTCTTTGCGTCGTTGTGGTTCAGTTCGGCGCGTGGCCCGGCGGTGGCTACGTCCGGTTCGCACCGGAAACTATTCCCCCCCCCCACCACCACCATCGCCAACTTGACTCGGGCCGTCTATAATTATCTGGTATTGGGGTGCGAACAACCAGCACCCGATACAGAGGCCGGGCGAGGCGAGGCGTGGGTTCGCGCGCAGACTTGCTGGAACTCCCACGTGCCATGTGTGGAGGGGGATCCAAGTCCTGGCTGGACGGCGCAGTCCGATTGGTGGAAGCCAAGAGAGTCGAGAGAGAAAGAGAGAATCGGACATTCACAGTGCAAACAAGAGCGGTACCCGGCGCGGTAGCGGGCACGGCTTGTTAACGTTACGGGACGAGGCGAACTCTGTCAACACGAGTACAGTGCGTTCCATTCAGAGAAAGCCGGTCTCTGTCTCTCTCGCACTCGAGGGGCGTGCCGTGGGGGTGCGAGAGAGACAGCCTGCCTGCCTGGAGGCTCCTCGACCTCCAAGCGAGGGGTTACCCACTCGTTGTTTTAGTGTACACACGATTCCGGATTCCCGCGATTCCCAGAACATATCCCTGAGAAAAAGAGAGAACTTTCGAAAATTTGCTTTGTATTTGAATGTTTTGTGTGTATCACAGTTTACCATGACTTTAAATTGAAATATGAGGTTTTTCCCATCAAATTTTAAAAAATTTACGAATGATTCCCGGACTGAGTGTACACATGATCCCGGAGGGGTAACCCCTCGCCCCAAGTCGTCGGCCTCCCAGGAAAAGTCGTTTGTCCTGCTGTCTTCTGTCGGTTTTTTTGGGCGGTTTTTGTCTTTGCTTTTCTGTTTTGCCTTTTCCCCGAAAACGTCCCAAAAGGCCCACATTTGCCCTTTTTTTCTATGAGTGAATCAGAATAAATGCAAAGCCGGGCGGGGTGGGGGGTCAATTCGTCGTGAGTGTTGTCGGGGGCGTCGTTTGCCGCCCCTGCAGACTGATTCCGAGAGTCGTCTTCTGTCTCCCTCGCACTCACGGGGCGTGCCGCGCGGGAGCGAGAGAGACAAACCAAACCGCGGCGAGCAGTCCGGCCTGGCGGCGCCCCGTGATGTAGTCCACGGCAGTCCGTCCGCCCGCCACGCCTTTTCATGAATAGCAATGAGGATGTGGGGAGCCGACGGCAGCCAAAGCCAGCGGGCCAACAGGCCAACAGCGCGACGCCAGTTACATAAAATATCGATGCGGCTCCACAGTGCGACCCACGCGATAGGGCGGGGTGTGGGGCCCACACTGTGGGGCCCTCGTCCCCGAGACCCGGGCACAATTAGGGCCGATAAGAAGGGCATGCATCATCCACCGAGACCGCACGCGTCGCAGCAGCAGCGTGACCAGGGAGCCGCGCTCTCCGCAGCGCAGCGAACAGTGTGGGAGCGCCTGCCATGCGAAGGG